TCTAATGGTGGCATGCTATCATGGTTATTATCACTGTCACTGACACTTTCTATCTCTCTGTTATCTCTCATCAATATGACCCTTTAATTGGGACACTGAGATGCAATATGTCAAATCCCAAAATACTTGAAGCATTTAATAGTGTTATTGATGCGGATATGGGTTAATAGATCACACAAAAAGAAGTATAAAAAAGAGATTACAATGTCAGTTGTTCTAATTAAAAGATTTTACTAACTCTTGTAAGTGAGGGAGATATATTATTTTCACTAGCTCTTGTCTTTGCAAGAACTCTGCAATATCTCACCAAAGCACCAATAGCCGACTAGCTACCTTAGAAGAAAAAGTCATGGACATGTTCACCCAGTTAAGTGTCCAATTGGGAAACATGGCTACCCATATGGATTGCCAAAAGAGAGTCGAATACCACAGTCGTACTCGATGCCAAATAGTGCACGATGAGACAGGATCGTGTGGCGATGACGTTGGTGACAGGTAGGGAGGCCGTCGCGAAGAGGTGGACAGAGACCTCCATGACTTCAAGTTCCAAATACCAGCCTTTCAAGGGAAGAATGACCCCGAAGCCTATCTTGAGTGGGAATGGAAAGTCGATCGCATTTTAGCTACCGTAATTATAGTGAAGAGAAAAAGCTCAAGTTGGCCACCCTTGAGTTTACTGACTATGCCTCACTATGGTGGGATTAATTATCTCTTCTCTAGGAACGAGATGGAGACTTGTCTATCACCACATAGTGAGAATTAAGATCCATCATGTGGAAACGGTTTGTGCTAGCTCATTTCGATAGGGATATGAACCTGAGATTGCAACGCCTGACCTAGGGTTCTAAGTCGATAGAAGAGTACTATAAGGAAATGGAGATAACCATGATTAGGTTCTGAGTTAACGAGCGGTCGAAGGCCACCATGGCTCGATTTTTGGAAGATCTAAATAAAGATATCGCCAACATCTTTGAACTCCAAAGCTATATCGACTTGAACGAGATGGTGCACAAGGCCACCAAGATTAGAAGGCAATTGAAGAGTAGAGGAACTAATCGGGGGCATGTTAGTAATGCTCCCTAGAGAAACCAAAGGTGTCCTCAAAGGGATGAAAGTAAGAAAGTAGACAATAGTAAGGAAAAATAACCCGTTGGCAATCCAACATTTAATTCTAAGACACCAGCCACCCGCCAACGCACTGTCAAATGTTTTAAGTGCTTAGAATTGAGGCATATTATATCTTAATGTCCTAATCAGCATGCCATGATTATCCGAGATGATGGAGATATCATCAGTGACCACGAAAATAGTGATGAGCAGGAAGATCTACCACTAGTGGATATACAGAGTATAGCTCGTCCTGTACAGGGAGATATATTTGTGGCTCAACAAGCACTAAACATACAGGTTGAGCCCGAAGGCAACAATCCGCGAGAGATAGTTTTCCATTCAAGGTGCCTGGTCAACGGAAAATTTTGTAGTGTGATAGTTGACGGAGGCAGT